GATATAGAAGAAATACATACAAATACACACACAGAAATACATACACACACAGCTTGGGTGTAAAACAGAAAAGTTAAAGAAAGCATACCCCACTGGCATCAAATGGTATCAATTTCCTTAAGGTAAGGGGTCAGGCTACCTGTTGAGAATTAGGGAAGTGAGATTGAGCAAAGGGCTCAGTCCGCAAAGGGTGACAGTTTGCAAGACACAACCAGATGGACAAAGGACAAATTGAAGGCACTAGAAGGTGCAACTGAGATAAGAAACAAAGTGTCAGCAGCACCAACTACAGGGCTGCCTGAATTCTTGGCATTGGTATAAAGCCCTATGTTCTGAAAGGGCAGATTTCTCAATTTCTGGTCTTATTTGGCTGGGGGTATAGCTCTCTGGCACAGTTCATGCCTGGCAAGCACAAGGCCCTGGGTGTCAGCCCTAGCTGCATGAAGAAAAATAAGGTCACTGTGCTTTGCTTGCTATCTCACTGAACTTTGATCTGTTCATGTTTTCTCCTTCAACCTAGTTTTTTAAAAAGCCACAAGGAGCTGGCATACATAAGGCCTCAGATCCATTCCCAGTATCACAAATAATAACAATAATCAGCAGACATATCAGAATTTCACTTAGCAACATTCCAGTTTTCTCATGTAGATAAAAATGACATGGAAGAGCTGGGTGTGGTGGTGTACGCCTTTGATCCCAGCACTTGGGAGACAGAGATAGGTGGATCTCTGTGAGTTCAAGGTGAGCCTGGTCTATATAGTATGTTCCAGGCCAGCTGGAGCTACAGGGAGACCTTGTCTCAAAAATTGCACGAAGTCATACTTCCTTGATACCTGTGCTGTGGTGTCAGTGAGCACTAATCGTGTCACCACCATGGCCTGCCTTCTGAGTCAAACCTAAATGCTTGTCAGTAAAGCATTTAAAATCCAGCTTCAGAACAAAAAGAAAAAAACAGAAACAAAATGAAAGGCCAGGCTTGATAGCACACACTTGTAATCCCAGCATTGAAAGACCTAGGTCATCGGGTAATTGCTGCCCCACAGGGAGGCCTGTTAGAAAAAAACAATGTGGGGAAACCATGCTATAATTCATTCCTTCATGAACAATTGAAATTTTACAAACTGTGGAGAAGAAGGAAGCCAAGCGTGGTGGCTCATGCCTGCAATCCCAGCATTCAGCAGGAGGACTGCTTTGAGTTTTAGGACAGCCATAAAACTACATAGGCTACATAGCAAGACCCTGTATCTTGGGAAAAAAAAAATGCTACTACTAACAATAAACAGTAATAATTAAATCTAACCCTCACTGCACTTTTACTTTCTATCCAGACACTTAAGAGCCATTGCAGCCTGTGTGGCTGTGAGGACTCCCCTGGTTTCTGGTACTCTGGACAGCAGGATCTACACAATCTACTCTCTATAGGACACACTGTAGAGAATATGTTTTAAATGGTATAAATCTGGTCCCTATGTTTAAGTAGCTCACAGTTGCAAAGGAAAGCCAAATTCATTAGTTTAGTAACACCAGGTGGTATGATCAAGTGTCAAGAAGTTCCAAAGACAATGTGTTTCTAAGAAAGCTGGACAGGTCTGGGCAGGACTGAATACTAGATCTGCTTTATTATTATTATTATTATTATTATTATTATTATTCCAAAGAGAGGCAATTTTAAACACATTTTTCCAGAAATAACTTGAAGCAGGTTACATAATAATATATATACAATGAAGTTTAAGGGAGGAAATATAGGAATAAGAAATCAAAGACCAAAGGATTGCCAACGTGGGTAGATCTGCTCTTATTAGCAAGCTACCTTGGGCAAGTTCTTTAACTTCTTCCTCAGTTTCCCCATTAACAATGCCTGGATGTAATACTCAACTCTGACAAGACCTAGAGTTAACACAGATTCCAAGGGGGTAAGGGTGCAGGTCCTACAATAGTCTCTAATTCTAACAAGAGTTACCATGTATAGGGCACCTAAACTTCTGAGTAACTAAGTCAGGGGCTCGTATAACTTTAGGGCATATACCTTGCTACAGCAGTTCACAGAACATACTATTACCAGTACATTATGAAAGGCACAACCCAAGAACAGCCAAGTGGAAGAGATGCACAGGACAAGGGGTCGGGGATGGTTCCAGGACTTTCCATGTTTTCTGTAAGCAGGATACCCACCCAAAGCCTCCGCAAGGTTTACTACCTGGAAGTTCTCCAACTCATCATTTAGGGGTTTTGTGGAGTTCCATTTGGCAGGCAGAGTTGATAGGATCCTTAGTCATTTGTGATTAATTCATCTTTAGTCCCAGTCACCTCATCAAAGCTAAAGGGTCAGACTGAAAGTTCTCACTCCCTAATCACATGGTTGGTTTTTCTGGTGATCAGACCCAATTCCAAAGCCATTGAGGAGCATATCAAGGATATCTCATCAGCAGAGCTCCGTCACATGGAAAGAATCCTCTTTTGAACAACAAAAATGCTCCCATCACTCTCATTGATGCCTAGGACAAAGACCAAATACACATTTCTTTTTCTGTTTTTTTTTTTTTTTTTTTTTTTTTTTTTTTTTTTGTCTTTTTGAGACAGGATCTCCCTGTAGTCCCAGTTGGCCTAGAACTTGCTATGTAGACCTAGAACTCGCTATGTAGACCAGGCTGGCCTCTGTCTCAGAGAGATCCACCTGCCTCTCCCTCTTGAGTGCTGGGATCAAGGACACCACCACACCAGGCTAAAAACCAATTTCCTTTTATCCCACTTGTGCCTTAGGACTTGGACACTTTTCTGGCTTCCCAACTCAGAACACTTGGGTCTCTACTCAAATGTCAGCCCCTAGAAGCCTTGTCTGATCATCTACTTAAAACAGAATCTTCCTCCATGCTCTTAACCCTTTCTCTTGCCCCTGCCCTGCTTAATTTTCTCCACAGCACTTAACAATACCTGAGACTATTACAATTACCCCCTTCCATTCTAATAAGATGTAAATTCTCTAAAGGAATGATCTTAAGTCATAGCTGGATCCCCAGTACTTGACATTTCTAACATAGAACTTAAAGCACCTGTTGAACAAATAGTGGTAACAGCAAAAACAAAACATCAGCACTGGGGCTAAGGATATAGTCACTGGTAGGGTCCTGAGTTGGTCCCTAGCACAAAATAAAAATAAAAACCTATAAAAGGGTCCATAAGCACAAGACCCTGGGTTTTATTTCCAACACTGCAAAAAGAAAAAGAAAAGAAAAATGAAGGAGGTGGCTGTGAGGATTAAATGAGAGAACACACAGAAATATAAAGTAATGCAATGTCTAGCACATAGTAAGCTCGGTAACCTTGGCCAAAGCCCTTATCAATGGACTGCAGAAGAGGGTGAGGTCAACACAGGCTAGAGCAGTCAACCAACGGCTTCAAGGAGGCGGGTGGATCTTGAGTTTGATCTGCTAGGACATGGTTTTTCTCTCTCATGGGGACACTGAAAAATGTAGAAGTGTCCCCTCCTCTGCTCCGGCCACCCATCCCCTATGTGTGCTGTCTTCACGCACCATGGATCAAATGCAGTCTTCACATTGTAAGAATTACCTACCTACTCACGAGACTCTCTCTGCCCATCTATTAATCTACTTATCTTTCATTTCTATATACCAGAGTCTAGATGAATTTCACAACCAAGGGACACTCAATGAAATCACTAAATTAATTAAATTTCAGAGACCTGTAGAAAATAAGCAACCTACTCTTCTGTCCAACAATCCAGATCTAAAGAAATACTCAAGTCTACATTAAAATAAAGTACAGAACACTTGGCATGGTGGTGCACACCTTCAATCCCAGCACTCAGGAGGCAGAGGCAGGGGATCTCTGTGAGAGCAAGGCTAGCCTGGTCTACATAGCACATTCCAAACCAGCTAGGGTTACAGGGAGACCCTGTCTCAAACCCCACCTCCCCCCAAAAAGGAAGAAAAAAAAGTACAAAGCCAGCTAGATGGTTCAGCAGGTAAAGGCACTTGCCACCAGGGAGTAGTCACTTGTCACTAAGACTGAGGACCAGAGTTCAAGCTCTGAAATCCACTTGTAGAAGAAGAGAAAACGGATTCCTGAAAGTTGTCCTCTGACTTCCACATGGGCATGACTGTTCTCTCTCTCACACACACAAACACACACACTTTTTTTTTTTAAGTAGTAAAAAATAAAGTACAAAGATCACGTGCACTTTGAAAGAGGGAAAGAAAGGAAGCAAAAGGTGCGACCACCCACGGGGGAACAATCAACAGACTATGAGGGCACCTATACCAGGCAGAATAACTTCTAGGACACTTACTGAAACAATTCCTAAATATATTGTTAACTGAAAAAAAGTTGGAGAATACGAAACGTGATTTCAATTAGGTGAGACAAAATAAAACAACACATACGTGCGCGCCCACGCGCACATACACACACACACACACACACACACACACACACACACACACACACACACACACACAGAGCTGCTCTGTGCGTCTGTATGGATGTATAACTCAATTCTTCAAGATCTTGCTTGAAACGTATTAAGTTTCAGTATTTGCTGAATGAAGACATTCGGGACGATAAGGACTGGGAAATACATCTGCTTTTCATGCTAAATATTTCTATCCTGTTTGCATTTGCTTTAAGGTACTACTTGTATTATTAAAAAGTGAATTTTTTAAGCTGCAGGATTTGGATACAGACCATAAGAGGATCCAGGCAGCAGCCTGCGATGAATCTTCCCCAGGTAACTAATTTTGAGCAAATAGAGCTCTTACACAGCACCCGCACGCTCTGACCCCTTAAAGATGTTCAGAAAAGCGCTGATCTCAGAAGGGACCAGCACGCTTTTTCTAGAGGGCTTTCCTCCCAAACCAGGACTCCTCAAGCTGGGCTCCGGAGGGTCCTGGTCCTTGGTCTCCATCCCGGAGGGCGGACGGCGGCGGAGGGAAGCGCTGCGAGCAGGTGCAGGCTCGGGGCAGCGGAGCAAGTACACTTACGTTCCGACTGGCTTCTTTGGCTGTAGCCTGCCTCCCCTGCTCAGGCATCGTCCCCCACAAATGCCAACTTCTTCCTGGGATCCGTCAGAGTTCAAAGGTCACCTGGTCAGGGGTGGGAAGCGCGATGTCAAAAGCCCTAGAGCAGAAAGCGTGCACTGGCATCTGTGCGGTCCCTTCACCGCGGGACTCTGGAACTCGCCCTCCGCCCGGCCGCGGTGCACCTGACCCGGGGGCGCAGGGCTGAGAGCGCTCGAGGGGCGCGGGCCTCGGATTCCCCAAGCCCAGGCGGCCCGGCGGTGTCCGCTACCTGCGGCCAAAGCGCTGGGGACTCGCGGCCAAGGCCGCAGACCCAGGGCTCGCCCACCGCCCGCCGCTCCGCGCAGCCCCTTCTCCTGGCGAGGCGGACTCAGCACCTAAGAAATTGACCCGCGGCCAGCCAGGACCTCCCATTGGGTTCCCAATGGGCGGTTGGCCCAGCGGTGGGGGCGGGGCGGGG